CCCCGAGACCGCATGTGGGCTGGGGGGCGGGAGCAGGCGGGGCCGGAGGAGCGCCAAGGGGCACGCAGGACAGCGCGGAGCGGAAGACACTTTCTCTGGGCTCGGTTCCCCTCTTGACGGTCAAGGCCAGGGAGCTTCTCAAGAGGAAGGCGCCAGAGGACCTGTCAGGGCACAGAACCCAAACCCTTAGACAGGGAGGTGAAGCTGGGGGTAGGAGCAGCGGGAAGCAGGTGCCTGCTGGTCTGAGACCCCTTTCTGATGGCCATCCCCTAGGTCCACAACCACGTCGATCCCGAATTAGCACAACAGGTCAGGAGAAAAGCACCGGCACGCTGAGGAGCACATCCGGGAAGGCTCCACGCGTCGTTCTCAGGGGTTCAGGAACTCATTGGTTGCTGTTCTCCAAGACCTCAGCCCTAGGTCAGGGTCCGACCCCGGAGACAGCTTCGACGTCGCCTCCTACCCACTCAGCCAAAGGCGGAGAGGTTTAAGACACAGGCAAAGGAAAAAAAAAACAGTGGCTTCCTTTAGTGGCGTTTCCTGAAAGCCACACCTGGGGGGTGGGCAGGCGGACAAAAACCTTTGCCTGCCTACTCTTTCTCCTTCTATTTTCCATCAGGAGGTGTTTTTCAACCAGTACGTTTAGAAATAAATAAACAAATAGCCCATCTCCACTCAAAGAACAAACCCCAGAAAGCTCCTTTGGGTGGGTGAGATTACGCGGGTTGGGGAGAGACAGAGACTGAGAGATGCGGTTAGCACTGCAAAGCGAACACCCACTCCCCAGGTCCCCGCAGCTACTAGCAAGCCCCCTCGAAGAATCTCCTCAGATTTCTCTCTCAGAGGACAGAAGCCAGAGAAAGAACCCAGGGCTTTGCTTGTTTGCAAGCTCCGGTTTCTGCACCCCGAGCCCTCTTTTCCTGGATTAAGAGGCAGCCCCTGTGAGTGTCTCTAACTTATGCTCTCTGGACACTTTTACGCAGTCCCCTTTTCTCGCACTAAACGAGACAGGTCATTCCGATTACCAGCCAAGAAACAAAATGCCAAGAAGCCTGCCCCCTCACCGCCTATCGCCTTGGAGCAACTCTCCCACTGTTCTTTCCAAGAAAAGGGAAGTTGTTTCTCAATAGGTGTCTGCTGTCCTCAGTCCCGCACAAAAGGATTTAGAGATTCTTCCTGCCACTCTCCTTCCCCAGAACAGACTGGTGTCTATCCTCATTAAAGTATATGCCTGCCCGATGCAAGGATCTGGAAGGCAGGATAGCGGTTTGTTTACCTGGAACATCCATGACCGGCGAGCACCGCTACCGGAGAAGTTGTTCTGCTTAGAGAAAATGAGGCGAGCAGGAGCTGGCGGGAGGAGGACTCGGAGCGCGACCCTTCTCCCAGCGCGTGGCCAATAACCGCGCCGCCCCGCCCTGCCGCTTTCCCGCTCC